ATCAAAAGCCAAAGAAAGACTTTTGTCTATAGAACAGACCACCAAATCCAACCAGGCCAACCCAAAGCCTTCTGAAGACGAGCTCTGTGTTCTAGATGACCTCAGTTCTGATGCATAATCTCCCCATACATCCCAGAGAAAGCAGCAGGGTCCTTCACCTCCCAGCAAATGCCCAGGGCCCCATTTGGCCAACTCTCAGGAGTGGGAGCTGTTGGGCAGAGGGAAATGGTGATGTTGGTCACCGTCCCCAAGGGTGCGCCCTTTGGCTGCTCTTGCCCACCAGGAATCATAAGGCCTCCAAGACCCAGGCCTTGGGCTTCTGCAACCTAAGCTCTCAATACTAAAAAGGACACGATAATGAAAGCCTGTGATTCTGGCTACAGGCAGCCCTTCCCTCTCCTCAAACTGCACATATTAGGAAACTGAGGCCCAGAGAGGTCACCTGACCAGCCTGTCACTTACTGGGACAGAATTGGAAATAGCTCTCAAGTGTCCAGTCATGAGACCATGCGTGGGACATTCTCCATGTCTCCCCAGCAACAGTTAGGACATGGAGAGGTCCTGCCCTGGTTACCTAGTCTCAAAAATGGACCTAGCTGAGCCTCTGCTCATGACCTTCTGCCCAGAGCCTCCTGACATGGGACTTCTAGATTACCCCAAATCACCAGAGCCTTTCAGGTTGATGAACAAGGATCTGTAGGCTTATCAACTGGCCAGCTCCCTCTGTAGAGCAGAGTGGCCAGGGCAGTGACCATATCATGTATAGGAGAAGCATGGCTACTAGGGTACTAATGGGCACTCAGGCTGGCCATGACCATCTAACCCTTATGAGAGGGACCTGGGCACCAGCATTGTGTTTCCAAGTACCATCACTCCTGGTCCTTGTGTGGCTGTGGGGTGCACTGGGCAAGTGGTCGTTAGGTGAAGAGTGATAGAGACATGAGGTTTTTCTGTGCAGGGACACTAGGTACAGCTTCTGCTCTGTCTTAAGGAGCCACGTCCAATCCTGGGTCACAGACTGCACATGTCCCTTCCTGCCACTGGCCAGGTTCATTCAAAGGCACACCCAGGGGTGAGGGGAATGGAGCTGCTTCCCACAGCCAAGAACACCTATTCTATCCTGCTTGTGTCTACTGGGTTCAGGGCATCTGACCCCCCCCCACTCCCCCACAGCTATTCCTGTCAGATGCCCCCAGGAGGCACCAGCTGAGAAGAGCCCAGATTTTAGCACTGGAGTAGCCTTTGTGAGGGAAGGAAGAGCATCCCTTGAGTTACGACTACCTTTGCATGTCGTTTCCCACAAGACACAAACTGAAATTGAATCAGACGGGAGTCAGGCTGCGTACTATGACTGAGATTTTACTGGAGTGCCCTAACGTTTTTCTGCCCTGCATCAGACACTTAGCCTTCCTGTCACTGCACCTGGCAAGGGTGGTATTATTGCAGCCTTTGATCCAGTTTAGTCTTGAAGGTGCTGGCAGCAGCCCCAGTGGCCTCCTGCTGTTGGATACAGCATCACTAACAGCTTCTTGTGCGCGCTCAGCTGTAGGCACGGGCAGAGCCATCAAATCTGCCTTCACAGCCACCCCAACCACACAGCAAGCTCCCCATGAGGGAAGTATCTGGATTCCTCCCTCTCTTCCTTCTTTCCCCTTTGTAAGGAAATGCCTAGAAGGGGCCATCGACCACGCAGGAGGCTCTCTGTTCCCTGAAAGGCTTTAGAAAGTCCCTGGTGTTCCCCCGGTGTTCTGGGTGAGGAGACCCTGGTTAGTGCATGCACCCTCAAGAATGCCATGCTCCCAAGAAGGTTCTGTAGAAGAATGTCTGTGCCAAATGAGACTTCATTGCATGGTGAGACTCATCTCCATCTGGCACAGCTGAATAAGAGCCAGTTGAGCTGAGCTTGGCCTGCCGTCCTGACTGACTGCTATGGGCTAGAGGATCTTGGGTGCCCTGCTTTGGGGACTGTATTCACCCACATTGACCTGCACAAGCCCCAGGGTCAAGGAAAAGAGATGAGATCACTACCCATCTCCAGCATAGCTGGCACTTGGCGAGTATTGAGGATGGGGGAGCCAGTGAGAGAACTCTTATGAAGGAGGCAAAGCCACAAAGGCCCCTAGACATTCCTGGTCATTAGTGACCATGGCCTCCCTTGTGTCAGGATGTAAGCAGAGAGCAGTCAACATGCTGCCCATAGGGCC